TGTTTTCCTTTGCGCATCCCAGCCCCCCACAGAGCTGAGCTGCTGGGGGGGGGGGAGTCACTTTACTTGGGGACAAAATGGGAGGGAATAGAAATACTTGGTTTTAAGGGTAAATGGTTCTGAGTTTGTTGCTACAGCTGACAATTTCTGTTCCCTTGGGGATGGCATTAACCTGAGAAAGCACTGAAAAGAGCCCATCTTTATTTTGGCCTGGTTTTGTTTCCTGTTCTTGTACCCACTAATCTATATCTGTTTGGAAACAGTTGGTTCCAACCACAGAGACGGAGGCGTGCTGAGGAAAGCACTTTTCTCTTGATACCGTTGACAGATTATTCAGCTTTAAATATTCTGTATGTCCTTAGCTCCAAGAAGTGGTGTGTAATCAACCACTGAGTCCTCGGACCTTAATGTACTCCTTAAACTGACCCTTACGGAGTCCTTTCCTGTTCATTTACCCCTGCCAGTCCTAGAGAGCAGCCTTCGGCCCGGCTCTCCAATCCATTACTGAAAAGTGTCTGTGCAGTCTGAGCTTGCGGACGGAGGAGAGGCATTTTCTTGAGGGCAGCGGCAAGCCTTGGGGCTGGTGGAAAAAGAGCTGAGGAATCCCCTGTGCTGGGTCCTCGGCCCTGGGACCGTCTGTTTTGGGAAACTAGCGTGTCCTTTGAAGGCCTGAAAAAGCCCTCTCCCCTTGTCAACCTTCTGTGAGATGCAGGGGGATGGGACATTAGGCCTTGCTACCTGCTTTCAAAAAAAGCACTCCCTGGCATTTGCCCCCACCTTAGTCTCGGGACTCACTGTGGTGTTGCAGCGCTGCAAAGCACGGTCACATCAGTGCGCTCAGATGTCCCCACTGCCCTGGCCAACTCCTGGAGCTGTGCATCTCTCTCCCCTGCTGCAGCGAGGTCCGTGCAAGGGGCAGGCCTGACGCTGGCTTTTCAGGCAGTTGTTCAGATTGGCCTGTTCTTCTGAGCTCAAGACTGCGGCTACCTCGTTACGTTGTCAGGAGAGCTGAGCCTGGCAATTTTGCTGAACGGGGGGGCCACCATCCCAGTACTAGGCCTGACCTGGTGGGGATGGGGGAGAAGGTGCAAACTTGAAGTTGTTGTTGTTGTCCTCTTCCTGCAGCGAATTGCTTGCAACAAACCCAGCAAGCAGCTCATGGCCCAATTTTTGCAGGTGCCCTGACTGCAGCTATCTTACATATCAGCACATGCTTTAAGGAAGTTGTTACTTTGGAAAAGGCTGTAGGGTAAAACCCAATTTTTATTGCCCTCACAAAGAAATAACAGCTGGTTTCAGAGAGGTATAAGCTGAACTACCAGCCTCGCAGTGGCTCGTGACCCTTCCTCCTAGCATGAGGTGGACAGGAAGGAGCTGGGCACGTTTGCGTGAGCCTAGGCAGCCGCAAGTGAGCGGTCGCTGTGCTGGACCTCTCCTCTGGCCGAGGATGAGGGCAGTGCTCGAGTCATTTGTGGCCTTCAGGGCGCAGTGCTGCCCTCCAGGGCAGTGCTTCTCCGCAGGGTGAGTTGCCACCTTCAACAGACGCGCTGTGGAGGAGCGCTGAAGAGGCACACGTGTTCCACTTAGGGTTTTTTCCCCCCAAAGAAACAAGCAGCCAACCAGTTGTCCTGCATGCTCGAGGTAGACAAGCTGCTTGGCCAAAACATGTGCGCCGAGGCCAGCAGCTGCGTAGCGATGGGGTCTGCCCCAGGCGCCAGCTCGCCTGCCCTGACCCTCCTGCTTTCCCTCTGCTTTTCCCAGTGTTTCTGACGGGCAGTGACCGCATCCCCATCTATGGCATGTCAAGCCTGCGCATCGTCATCCAGTCCACTGCCAGCGACGAGCAGTACCTGCCCGTGGCTCACACCTGCTATAACCTCCTGGACCTGCCCAAGTACAGCAGCAAGGAGATCCTCAGCGCCCGGCTCATTCAAGCCATCGATCACTACGAGGGCTTTAGCTTAGCTTGACCGGTAGGGAAGAGGCACAGACACTTGGGTACGGAGGAAGAAGATAGTGGGTTTGGCTTTATTTTTGTAAGGGAATGGATGAGAACATTTTGGGGGAAAAATATAATTAATAGTAATAATAGATACAGATGATGCAGAGTCTCAGCCTGATGCTGTCAGCATTTTCTGGGACTTCAGCAGGGAGAGACTCTTGCTTTGAATTTTTTCTAATCCACTGAGCGAAATCAGTTCAGTGGCATTTTTTGTTGTTTCCCCTCTCACCTCACACCGCTGCCCTCCCAGCAACTCCTTGTAGTTTGCTTTTACTGCCCCTGCACACACAGACTTACCTCTCCTTTTAGTCCAGTTTAAATATGTTGATGTTCTTTGCATTTTAGGTTACGGTGGAAATTCAGGATGAGGTAGTGATCTTATTGAAAAGCTGTGAATTTCCCCACCCTTTTTTCTTCCCTTTTTAATGCAAGCTGGTTCTTGCTTGCTTTGAATGGATATGTCCCCTCTGCCCCTTAGGCTGTGGCAGATGGGTACTGGGCTGGGATGTCATTTCTGACCTCCCAGTACAGTATGTTTGTTATGGTACGTGCTCTGCCTTCTTGCACCAGGCTGTCTCACGGTGAGTACAGTGGTTTGGGGGTTGACTTGTTTTTCTTCCTTTGTCTCAAATTTTGTTCCCAAGCAATATCTTCTTAAAAAAGCCTCAGACTCCTCTGGAGCGGGGGTTGTGTCCAGGCTTTTGGAAGAACAAACCGTACCTATAATAATGGGTTTCTTAAATTGCTTCTCTCTTGTATTGTGTTTCTATGTTGGTAAGTCTACAAGATAGACAGGGTGGGCTTGACTGGGTCCTGTTTTTCCATCTGAACAGACGTGCTGTTCCCATACAAGGTGAGGTGTCTGCTTTTACTACTGCCGGCCTTTTTCCAGAAGTTGTGTGTGTGTGTGTGTGTGTGTGTGCGTGTGTGCATGCATGTTTGCCAGCTCTCCAATCTCATGAGGTCAGAGAAGAAGAAATGAGCATGAAACCTGCATTCAACATATTAACCTTCTCTTTGGAGGTTGGTTTTATTTTTGCAGTTGGGATTATTTTATTTTCTGGGGTTTAAGGTGTTTGAGGGGAGCCCTTTCACTTGTCAGCTCTTTTGCCCAGTAAGTGCTCGAGGCCCCTAAAGGACAATCTGTGTGAATTAGATTGGAAACGTACATTAAGAGTTAAGTAGGCAAAAGCATGAACTAAATATATCCTGTAAGACTGGAGAGCCTTTATCCTCTTTACCCCAATCCCCCCCCCATTAAATGAAGTTTGAATGATCCCCCATTTTTCAAGTCTTGGAATAAATCTTATTTTAATCCTATGGTGGTTTTTGGAATGGACTTGTTATTAGGACATACGGTATTTATGCACCACGTTCAATATATGATATTGAACTTTGCACCTCGTAACAAAAGGTTTTCGGCTTCTGGGTTTTTTTTTAAGATAAGCTAGTGGCTACACTGAGAGCCCTTCAGCAAATATACGATTATATCAAATGTTTATTTTCTATGTGTGTGTACATAGTTCAGTATTATGCAATAAATTTGATGTCTGATTCGGACGGAACAACTGCCTTTGTGTCGGAGGCAAAGGAGGGGCTGAACTGAGGTTTGAGCAGCTCCAGGTGCTGGGTTTGGCTCCTCTGCCTCCCTGGCTGGTCCCCAGCACGCTGCAGTGAAGCTGCGCCAAGGGCTCCGCACGCTCCGCTGGCGCCCTGCCTGGGACCCGTCTGCCTGGTGCTGCTGCCCCCGGGTTAGGGCTGTCGCGCTGGTTGCCGCCCTGGGGGTCCTGTGCGCACCCAGGGTCACCGGAGCTGTTTACTCATTGATGGACGGCGCGTCGTTTACCAGCAGGCCGGCGCCGATGCCTGCGGGAGTGCCACCAGCCACCGCCCTGGGCACTTGCAAAAGCGTGTGTGCGTGTGTGTGAACGTGTGGAGCCGCCAGGCAGTTTTGAACACAGACCCGGCAGCCAGTGCCAGGCCAAAACCGGCCTTTCGGCCAGGGCAGGTCGCCCTGATCGCTTGGGGAAACCCGAGAGACCCATCCCGAAGTGGTGGGGGACGGGGCGGTCGGCACCCTCTTGGCAGGTTGTGTGAACTGCAGCATGGGGATCCAAAAAAAAAAAAGGCAGTAAGTTAGCCTGGTGGTGAGCGCCCAGGTCAGCATCACAGTGGGACAGCGTTAACTTATATATCTGCTTCTGTTTCCTTTAGCAGTGCTTGTAAATACATAGTATTGAGATATGGTTAATAAGGAGGCAATATGTACGTATATATATCTTCTTGCTTATATGTGTTTTCAATTCGTAATTTGTAATTCATGTTATTTATAATATAGCATATATTATATTTATAACATACAAACATAGTCAATAGCTAGATTGTATTAAAATGTGTATTTAAAACGTTTGTGTTATGTAAACAAGATTGGAAATGAGAAGTGAACTGGAAGTAACTTTGCTCAAAGGATGCTGGGAAAAACAGCAGCCACTGAAACGATGAGCTTGGTGGCACTGCTTAAGTGCCCGGCCTCCATCCCCAAACTGGAAAATTAAGTTTGGAGAAGGGGGCTGCTTTTTGGGGTTCCCTAGCTGGGGTGCCAGTTGCCCCGGTGTGCCTGATACTTTGGGGGAGCCCGAGGCAAACACGTGCCATCGCCGGCAGTGCAGCAGCAGCAGCTCAGGAAATGGCAGATACCCAAAACTGTAAGAAAAGAAAAAAATCTGCCCGTGCCTTTTTGAGCTCATTAGGGCCAGGATTTCCCCATCCAGGCTTTTCCATTTGGAGCTGCAAAGCCACAATTTGACCCAGCTGTGATCCTGGCTCACGTGGGGTAACTTTATCTTGTGCTTGCATTGGTTTTTTTTGGTTTTCCCCTTACTGCTGTTTTGTTCTATGCTAACGTGACCTTTGCCCACAGCCTGGCCCTGCTAGTGCATAACATGGGCTACTAAAGCAACCAGTAAAGCACCTTGATCGTCCGCGCGTTGGGGGGCGAGGGGGTTGCCCCATGGGGCCTTTCAGGGTCTGAGACCACCTCGTGGCTTTGGGGAGTGAGGCTGCCATAGGGCTGGCATGTACATGCCAGGGGGACAGAGGTGCCGCTGGCCGCCACTTCGGGTGCACGTGGAGGGGACGGGGGGAACGTGAGCCTGGGGGGCAGGAGCTGGCTAGGGCCCATGGGTGACGTCTGGCTGGGGCAGCTATGGGGCAGGGTGGTCCTGGGTGTGTATGGGAGGGGGAGGGGAGAGGATATTAAAAATACACACATGATATGTACATACACATAGCTATATATAATATGTGCAATATATATATGTATGTATGTGTGTATTTAGATTATATATACTATACACCTGTGTGTATGCATACACATATACACAATGCATGTGTGTGAGAACACATACACAAGTACAAGTGTATATGTGCATACCTATATATAACATATACCCCCCAAATATATGCACACTTGTATTTTAGATGCCCATGTATTTGGTGTAGGTGTGGGTGGGTGGGGGTGTGTGTGTGTGTATTTATGCACACTTCACTATGTGTGTGTGTGAGGGTGCGCACACACGCACGCACCCACAATGTGTATATGTGTGTGTGTCTCTCTGTCTCACTACACATGTATGCATTGTGTAACTGGTATAAGTACATATAGTGTCTTTATATATATATATGTATAAAAGTTTACGTACATTTTGTGTGTGTGTGGTTTTAGCGTGTGTGTGGTGTGTATTGTCTATATATAAATAGAAATGTGTGCAGCTATATATGTATCTGCAGCTACACATGCACATGCAGATACATATGGTATATTTACTATAACTTTAGGTAAGTATATGTAAATATGTATTATGTGCATGTTCATACACTGTATAAATACATATAGCTAGCTGTGTAGTGTGTGTATAAAATATATGCTATCAGTATGGGTATGTGCATATATAGAGAGAGAGCAAGCACACGTGTGTGTGTTCACACAACTATATAGTGTATAACTATATATATGTGCATGTAGGTATGTATGTATGAAGAAACATACACCTGTATGTATTCTATATATAAATAGATATGGGATTATATATTGATATGTGTATGTACTTATATTGTGTGTGTGTGTGTGTGTGTGTGTGTGTGTGTGTGTGTGCGCGCACATGTAGACATGTGCATTGTATATATAAAATATATGTCTGTGGTATACTTTATATATAGTTATGTGTACATATATACTCTGTATATTACACACAGTACACATTATAGATGTGCACAGTGCATAGTGTGCTTAAGTGTGTGTGTATATACATACAATGTGTATGTTGTATAACTGGCCATATGCACACATGCGTAAGCATATACCAATGTGTATTGTGTGTATATATGTACACACACACACACATAATATAAATATATATGGGGGATGTGTGTGTAAATATATGTTGTGAGTGTGTGGTTACATACAATGTATTTAGATACATGTGCATAACTCTTATAGCGGTATGTGTACATGTGTTTGTGTACACAGTGTCTTGTATATATGCACACATATATGTAGATATGTGCATGTTTGTATTGTATATATCATACACAGAGTATATATAGGTGTGTATATGTATGTGTGTAGTATGCATATACACAACACGTGAACACACACATATGTACATACACATAGCTATATATGTGTTATATATACAACATATGTATCTACATACATATATGTCTATGTATGTATACCTATACACAGTACACACTACACACACACACACACACACGCATGCTGCATATTGTGTGTGTTTGTGTATATATCTATGCATCTATATTGCATATATACAATACAGATATAGGCAGATATGTTATGTTATACATGTGCATACATATAGTATGTTTTTAACACTGTAGTCTGTATAAATATTCATGTGCATGCACACGTATATGCAGCTAGACATGTGAATGATATAATATAAATATAGATGGTAGACACATAGGCATGTGTGCGCAAATATATGTTTGGGGGGGTCACCCATAATGTATGTAGTTACATGTGCATGTTTTATATAGATATGTGCATATATGTTTGTATGTGTGTGTACATATACGCATGCGCACAGTGTCTTGTGTTTATGTGCCCATATATATGTAGATATGTGCCATGTTTGTATTGTATATGTAATTGAAATATATATGATCGCTAGGTATGCATATGTACAGAGAGCAAGAGAGAGAAGGTGAGCTTATACACATTTTTGTGAACACAAATATATACATACACATGCCTGTATATATTTTATCCTTCTCTTTCTCTCTCATAAATGTTATATCCGATACACACCTGTACATATATATGTCTGTGTGTATTTATACACAGTACACACTATAAATATATATGCACACTGCATATTGTGTGTGTGTGTGTGTGTACACACACCCAGTGTGTCTTGTGTATAAATATATATGCACTATATAAAAAATATGTAGATACATGCACATTTATATCTCTCATATAAATATATATGATATATAGGTACGTGCATGTGCATGTGCACATAGTGTGTGTGTAGTACACACAATACATGTTTGGGTAAACACACACAAATATGTATGTAGCTACATACACGTTCCTCTATATATCCTATTATATGTGCAATACATAGATCTACATGCATATATGTGTGTATCCCTATAGACAATACACACTATATGTGTGCACACTGCATGGTGTGTGTAGGTGTATATATGCACGTGTGCGCACACACACACACACTGCATATAGAGATGTGTGTGCATATATGTGTATATACATATAGTGTGCCTTTTTAACATGTATTCTGTATATTCATATGCACACACGTATGCAGACATATCTGTATTGTATGTATGATATAAATATATGTGGTAGATACATAGGTATGTGTTTGCAAATATGTGGGGGGCATACAATGTATGTAGATCCATGTGCATGTTTTATATGTACATACACCTATATTTTATATATGTATTTGTACATAGTGTCTTAAGTATATTTGCACATATATCTTCATACATATATGAGCACAATGCACGTGCATAAGTGTATATATGTACACACATATAGTACACAAACATATATAGTATATGTATATGTATGCATATAGTGTTACTTTTAAGTGTATGCTGTTATATTGTTAATTCTGTATAAGCATTCCTACGCACATGTGCATGCAGATAGACATGCATATTGTATATATTATATATAGTAGCTACATAGCTATGTGTATGCAAATGTTTTGTGTGTGTATATATACACACATACACACTTCTGTATAAGTATGCGCTTATATGTATAGCTGTGTGCCATGTTTGTACTGTATAGATGATATATAGGTATGTGCATGTATATATAGGGTGTACTTAGATAAAATAAACATTTGTGTGACTATGCACACACAAAATATATATGTATACACACATACCTATATACACACACACACACACACGCACGCAATATGTGCATCTATGTACATGTGTGTACTTATACATAATACAAACTATATATGTGTATAACCACAGTGTATATTGTTCATATGCATATACATAGACACATGCATTTTATATGTTACATAGGTATATATTATATATAGGTATGTGTATGTAGTTATCTTTTGCATGTTTGTGTCTATTGTGTATAAATGCACACATATAGCTATGTGTGTTTAATATATGGTACATATTCTTTATAGGTGCAGGAATGTAAATATGTGGTGTGTGTGTTCACACACTGTACACAAACAGGTAGATACACATGTACATACAAAATATATTTATTATATAGCGGTGTGTATATGTGTGTATATATATATTATGTGTGTGTTCACACACATCTGTAGTATGTATTGTGTCTAAGCATATATGCACATATATGTAGGTACTTATATAATATACAATACACAAATGTGTAGGTATGTATTTTATGTGCTCACATGCATAGTGTCTTGTGTCTAAGTGCATGTATAAACATGCACATATGTATGTAGATGTATATGTGCATTGTAGATATAGTACAAATATATCTAGCTATATGTATGTACATATATACTGTGTGTATCTACTTAATGTGTGCATGCCTGTTTATTTTGTTTAAGCACATACCCACGTAGGTATGTAGCTACATAGAGGCGCACTCCTCCAGCAGCTGCCAGGAGTGGCGCTGCTGCTGCTGCTCCCAGCGGGGCGTCCACGTCCCTGGTTTTCTTCGTCGTCCCCAGGCAGGCTGAAGGGAACCCTGTTTTCTGGTCTGGGCAACGCATGAAAAACAGTCACTGGTTTCTTAAACTAACGGGCTCAATTATCAGGAGCTCCAGTAGCTCAGGACTGTACGTGACAGATGTCAACTTGAAGTAACGTGGTGTTTATCCCACGGGTGGGTCAAACCTCAACTCTACTTGTTCTCCTTTCGATGACACCAAAGCCAAGCGTGGGAGCCAGTTCAGAGCTGCTGCCCAGCTGCCTTCTTCCTGAGCTGAGCAAACAGGAGTGTCACACGTTTGACAAAAACTGCCACCAGAGAGAGACCTGCAGTCAAAATAATTTTATTTTCTTGTTTTTTATACAAAATACAGTCATGTACGAAAATGTACACATAACGTTTGTCAATCCATCTACATTAAAAAAGACACCATATATTCAAATTAAATTTGCTTACATAAATCATGTAAACATAGACCCAAGCCCGTATTTGCTAAGGTTTCAATAGTTGTTGAATGCACTGGTTGCATGACAGCAATGTAGTTGCTTTCATACAGCAAATGAAATCAGCAAAGGTGATTTTTTTTTTTTTAATTTTTTTAAAACCAGCCAGGCACAAAAACACTCTGGTACTGCCTTCTAAATGCCAACCAAATCAAGTGTACTATATACAGAGTCATTGTGTAAATATATAGCTTGCTGTATGTACATACCCACATAACAGAAGATGGTTCACGAATGCATGCAGCTGTCCAGGGAGAGGCACACGCTCCAGCACGTGTTAAACACCCAGTGAATATACAGGTTGGACAGACTTGAATGCCCCCTAAAAAGCTGGAGATGTAGATCCACTTGTCTCTACGAGCTCAAGAGATTTTTGCAGGTTTTTCCATGAGTCTTTTTAGCCTCAGACATCAAGAAACACAGAAGTGGAGGTGGCTGTTAGGTTTTTACAGTTGGAATCCCAGAGCAAATTTGTGTTGCTCACACCCCAAGCACAGAGGCCTCAGGCACTGCAGGTTGTGATGGTCAAAGCCAAAAATTCAGCTGCATTAAAAAGCCTTTCCACCTTCTAATACCGCATAGAGTAAGGCAGCTGCCCCCTTGCCCGTAAAGAGGAACAGCGCAAGAGCACAAGTCCTGCTCTGGGCAGTGATGTTACATTGCTATGGAAGGCTTATACTAAAACAGAAATAGGTTGAAATGCATTTTTTTAAAAATAAAGATTATATCTGATCCAGCCTAATACATTTGTGCAGATCATCTATTATTTAGCTTTTTTTTTTTTTTTAAAGAAGTGAGGGTATGAGAATTCCATATTGCCCATTTTAGGGATTGGCGTGGCATTAAAAAGACTAGGAAAATAAATGCAAAATGCCTTTAGACTCCTTGAATGCAAAATGCCTTTAGACTCCTTGAGAACACAACCCTCAATGCGCAGGCAGGTATTGAAAATAAAAGCATATCTAATCAGTCAGCACCAAATCCCATCCTCTGCATTGTCCACCAAAAGACTCATGGATTGTTTAAATGTTTGCAACATGAATCCTTTGCAAAAGCAGATCTCCTCTGCTCTCGAATCCTCAAAGATTGTATTTACCAGAACGTCGTCATATTTAACGTTAACAGATCCCACCCTCTTCTAAGAGGGGACCGCAGAGGCAGCAAATACGAACAGCAGCTCCTCTCCAGAACAGTAAGAGTGGGATTTGGGTGATTCAGGAGGAGGGAGGGATTTGTCTGTCCCCGTACAAGTGAATTTTGCAGTGAGACCCATCCCTGAAAATGCACAACAAAGGGCTTTTGAGGAGCAGCTCCCTGACAAGTGCTGGTACATACACAAGTACGCATCTCATACCCCGGGGCCTCCTCCAGCTGGAGCCAGCAGGGAGATGGCTACAACTCTAGCAGCAACGGCGCCAGGCTCCAGCACGGTCCAAGCACGTGAATCACTGGACTGTTCCCCACAGGCAAATGAACAAAATCACTTCCAAACATACAGCTATGAACTGGAGCTGTTGAGCCCACGCAGGCATGCAGCAGGCACATGTCCCAAGTTTTGCTCTGGTTCTCTTGATGCTCCTGGTTCTAACAGTTTTTGTAACAAAAAATATTAAGAATATTTGTTCCAGTAACTCCAGTTTGAATATTCAAACCAGTAATCTCTGCCAAAACAGGAGGCCTTTGTAAGTTTATCTACTGTGATAAGGGTGTTTTTGCCCTTCAGGAATATGTCAATATCCAGAGAAAGGAAGAAGTGATCCATTGCTTCCACTGAGTGATGCCTCATTACAGAGTGTCAATGAATGTATCACTATTATAATTTCCAAATGCAAAGTTAAGCTCCCCATCTGCAAATGAACAAGCAAACTCCCGTCTTATGCCTTGGCTTAGAGAAACAGTCCTGGACCCAAATTCCTTCCCCCAACAGTCAAAAACCCTTGAATCCCTTCCCCAAGAGATGGGGAACGTGAACAAGTACAGCCCTGCACCCTGCACACCAAGCCCTAGCTGGTCTCTTGTGTGAGAAAGCCCAGGCTGCCCACACGGCCTTGGACAGCTGCACTTCTGCACGTTTAACAATACCCTTTGTAGCAACGGCGACAGCGCAGCCGCTCTGGGGAGAGCCCCGCTAACCAGCCACCGCCACGTTAACCTGGCGCCGGCCCAGAGCGGATGCGGCCCCACAGACAGGGCGAGCTGTGCCTCAGGACACTGGACAAAGTCTCAGACCACAAACTGGCTCCCGGCTCAGCTCCTTTCCAGCGCCGTGAATCACCATGTTGCAAACATCGCCTCTAAAGAAGACTCTGGCAATTTCTCTGGCTGGAGGCCGTCTGGCAGCACTTACCATCTGAAGCTTGCATATACCAGTAATAACAACTGATGTCTTGGCAGAATGATTAGGAGATAGATGCTTTAATTACACTACCTTTAACATAAACATCCATTATTTGACTGTTGGAGTAAACAGAATAAAAGCAAATGCAACCTGTGAGAATGTCAAGTTTTTCCCCAACTCTTGCCATCTTATTTTGTCCACACCCAGTTCATCGTCATCATTAAAAAAAAAAAAAACACAACCATTTATTACACCAGCACATTGTAATAAACATGCGTGTCTGAAATAGCCCCAACTCCGTGGAAGCCAGTGACCCAACAGACCGTAGTGCTGTCCTACAGCAGACAGTATGTTCTAGTGACATGGAAACAGGTTGTCTTATACTATAACAGCTTATTTATATCACATAAAGTAGATTTTTGTACAGTACTTCACACCTTATAAAAAACACACACTGTCTTGTATTTAACATGTTCTCCAGTCAAAACGTAATTGAAGTTGGCATGTACACTCTAAAGCCTACAGGTGAAATCACACAGGAAAACTGAAATTGTAAAACAAAAGATACAGCTGTTGCTTGGATTGATTTAGAGGAGCATGGTGGGGCAATCATCATTTGCTGTTATTTTGTGATTAGCAGGAAATCGCATTGACTGATTTTGCAAATCATTTGTGGGAGATACAAAGACACCATTATATTTTAGTGCTTAGTCTTCAGTCTTTTAGTCTTTGAGCCCGCATCCTGTGCAGCCCTCATCCTCCCTTGTCCCAGGAAAAGGGGAGTCACAGTATCTTAAACCCAGGACAGCTAGTTGAGGAGCACATGCCTTTTTTCCAGGACTGGCATTTCAAAATTCCTTCCTGGCAGTCTCCTCTGTGACTAGGCAGGTGATACATTTTTTCCATGGGGGAAGACTGTTTTAAAGAACAGTTTTAACAAGAGAGATGGCTAAGCGTGTTTTTTTTTTTAAATGTACAATTTCAGATAATAGGTTTTGTTACTTTTAGCTTTCAAACTTCAAAAATATAAACTCTCTAAAGTGCATAATTGTACTTACATTTCATATAAACTATCTGAAGTTCTAGTAATATGCCATGTAAACAGCGGTAACTAAGCATCCAGAAAATGCTACAATCTCACCAGTTTAAAAATAAAGCGGACTGTTCACTACACATCATTTATCAAGATTTGTCAGGGGCAAACCCCACATTTATCAGTACACAGTGCAAACAGGCTTTTTAAAAATAAGCAGAAAAAACATACTCCTGGGAAATCTTGGCCCACTGGAAAACATATGACTAGGAAGAAAAGGAAAGAACTGCTGCTCTCGTCCTATATAAAGCTGTCTAGGCCCAGATTCAGCAAAGCGCTCCAGATTTAGGCCCTCCTTATTCAACCAAAACCCAAACGCAGATCAACTTGAGGCGTGTGCTCACCACATACACTTTGAAGCACTTTGCTGAACTGGGCCTGACCAATGCAAAACTGAACCAGCAGTAATGACTTTTTGGTAACCCAACATCCTTTCTCGTCTCATGCTTCTACTCATAGAGTAACACAGCAGCCATGTTGGCTCAGCAGTTAAACCTGAAACAGCTAAGTGAGCTGACCACGGACTCTGAACAGAAATAAGACCAGGCTGAAGGACAAAGGCACAGCTCTGATTTCCTGCATTGTCCTGCATTCAGGAAGGCATTTGCCCTAGCCAGGCTTCCTTTCCAATCAATCAGTCATCTTCCAAAGCAGTTTCCCACATTTGTGAGCCCAGCTATAACCTCCAAGGATCAGATTTGCAGAGGCATCTCCCAAGAAATGGAAACTCAGCATCTCTGCAAAGCCAAGCCCTAGGTCAGCACACAAGTCCTCCAGACTCTTTGGAAATACGAAATTCAGCCTTCAATGATCTTGTATACAAGGGGCAATTCTGCAATCAGCAGAAAACAACACAGAAAGTCCTCCTCCTAAGCGCTTTGACTGCTGTCACTAACAAATGCACATCACTGTCTTACCCATTCAGACCATTAATGGGCACATGTAAGAGCAAATGAAAAAGGCTGCCTTTTGAAATGTTTATGGAGTCCTAAGAGACCAAAACACCCTCAGCATCAGTTTTTGCAAGAATTAACATAGTACAGCAAGTGGAGGAAAACGATTCTAAGTAGCGCATTTGAAATAGAAGTATTTGTGGGCCTGCTTGCCCAAAAAAGGAAGCGGGGGGGAGAAGTTCTGGGAGCTCACCTCTTAGCTCCTGCAGTGTGACATATGCAAGGCCTGGCTGTAGCTGGCACTGCATTTGATCGCAGCTGTCCTGCTTCAGTGCATTAGCTCACCAGGGGATCGCCACAAAAGACAGTACGCACAGAAACGCTCCCCGCGACACCATGATTGAGCCCCACTCCTGGGAGTTGCGTTTCTTGCCCTAATTCCCAGCCCTGGCTCTGGGCAGTGTGACTTTGTGCATGCAAGCCTCCAGAGCGCAAGACAGAGCCCAGATGGCCCAGCAGACCTGGGAGCGCTCAGTTACTTCACACATTTTTGAACTCACTACCTTTTTACTCCTTCACACAACAACTGTCTGACATGAGGACCTGAATCAAGTGTTCATAGCTTTCCCAAGACTTTGTTTTCTGAAGGTCCTAAACAAATCTGAAAATAGCTAATAGCCAAATTCTGCACCTGACACACTGACCCCTCCACAGGCAGAACGTGGTTCTCAGCTTCCAGTTCTCTGCAGTATCCTCTGCTCTCATCTATTAATATAAGCCAAAACCGCTGGGGAGAGAAGACCCTCCTCTGATTCCCACAGTCACAATGCCAGGGCTGCAATCCACAGTCTGACTGACTGCATACATAAAAGAACAAAATTTAGGCTGGCAAATATGTGTGACATGCACATGGGCTGTTCAGCTCAGGATCTTATGTCAGCATCAGATAATGAAGCACACGTACTAATGGAGTGTGTCTTCCAGATGCTTGACCCAGAGATATAATTAAGCAGCTACCAAAATCCCAGGGGATTTTGACTTGCAGCTGTTAAAACTTCTTTGTTTTGCCCTATTTAAGCCTGGGCAAGACTGTAACTCAAGCCAGCCTGGGCTCTGACCAGGATAGTCTTCCAGCATTTATACAGGGCAACAGCAGAGGCTGGATTCCATCCAAACGGTCAGGTCAAAAGTCTGAGCAAACCTTTACTGTAGCTATGAGAGAACAGTCTTGGTGCTATCTGACCTGTGCCTTCACATTAGATCAGTCAGGGCACTTGCTTGGTAAACTAAAGTGGAAGCTATTTGATGATTTAATCACTATTCATCCTATTTTGCCTCGTGCTATGATATCCTGGAGTGAAGAAAAAAAAAAAAAAAAAAAAGAGCAAGTCTGGCTTCGATAGTCTAAATATTACAGGACCTGTAAGCAAACCAAAACAGAAGGATCCCTTCAGTGTAGTTGCTGAGCGCAGCATCACCTCTCCTACACTGGCAAACTCCACTTTGGGCATCTGGCCTGCAGACAGAGAGGACAATAGCAAGTCCCAAGAGTGATGGAAAGCCACCCTTCCTCCCCCTCCCACCTCTGGGAATGGCCTTTCAGTTCCCAGGGAGCTCCTCAGCTTCCCCAGCCAGGCTCCTGCTGCATTTGCTTCATGCATTCATCTGTTTGGTGCTGTCTCTTTTCAGTTTACTGGCAAAAAAAATCCCCTTCTTTACATGATCTTGGAGCTAATATCTCTTTTACTGATCAGGACCTCCAGCAGCCTCAGCTTGGCCTTAACCTGCTTGTATTCATTGTATTCTTCTGCCATAGGAGCGCGGTCTTCTTTCTGCACGTTCCTAGCGGGAGAGAAAGCAGGCCATGAGGCTTCCTGTACCAGTACAACTCCCATCAACTGCCTCCCTCCCTCTGCCTCCACCAACAACACTGGGAGACAGCCCTACAAAACAGCTCCCCTTCCTCCACTCCCCAACATGGGACAAAATCAAAGTATTTTTATATTTTGAGAGGAGGGAAAAAAAAAAAAGAGGGGCACACAAGCTACTCCAGTGAAATGTAGGATACTTGCATATTGAGGCTGAACACAATCTCACAGTTTCAAAAGCAAAATCTTACTTGAAACATGCCCTGCTTCCTGCTTCACTGAAATTACCAGCCTCTACACAAGAATCGGGGTGGGGGGGCGAGGAGGAGGAGGAGGAGGAGAAGGAGGCCCTTTCCATTTCGGGAACCAGCAGAAGGTTATTCTGCTAGCAGGGCAAAATACAGCTTCTTCCTGCTTGGAACCACACCACTTTCATGAATAGACACATTTGATCACATTTGATCTGATATCTGATCAGATTTCTCTTAGCTGATATGGAACTGTCTCAATTTTTCAATGATTTTACAAGAACCCCTAAGGACGATGGCTTGTGGCAAGAAGCTAACAAGATGATTAAAAGAACATAAATATCCTGAAGCATTTTAACAGGTCATTCATGAGGGACAATTTCTAAATACAAAACAGATACACAGAGCCACAGTTAAACAGAAATACCTGTTAAACCTGTGTCTGAATAGCAAGAACACAACAGAGATCTAAACATACTATATCCTTAGGAAAAAAGAATTTTTCTCCAACAGAGCAACTCTTCCATCATTTTAATCAATTGTGCTAGAGGCAGCTAGGTTTTCACAATTTATACTTGTGCTTCCCACTGCATGTCCTATGACAATGTTTACAAAGAGCTGTAATCCTGGAAGTCTTTGAAAAAAATTATTCACTGTAATAGGCAACTGTAATGAATGTGGGTAAAACAATAATGACGTTGTTGAAATATGTAAGAGTGAACTCAGATAGCTTTCCATATTTGGAGCCCTCTGTAGATGTCAAACAGATTAAGAGTAGCTGACGGACAGAATGATAGTTAAGAAATCATTACCTTCCATTTTGTCGGAAAAAATTATCTTCAAACTCTCTCAATTTTTTCCTGATTCGCTTTTTCTCTTCCCTGACTTCTTGGAGCTGCTCTAACAGTTCAGGGCTGTTGGATTTAAATAAACAGGATGATTATACACATCTACACAATTATAACTGGAAACACAGAGTACATCTACACAGATATGGTTGTATGGACACCAAGCAAAGGAGCTGCTCCTGCAAGCAGCCCTGGCAACCTGCTGTTACTTACAATAGAAAGTCCTCTGGATTTAACTCAGGAAAATGCCCATATAAATAAGCTGAAGACTGTGACTCGCCCCCTCCCTAAGGTGGTCAGGCATGCATTTCATAATTCACCACCTAATTCCTATGCAACTTATGGTTTGCTGAAGATGGGTTTGTATTTAGTGACTTTTATAAGATCAAGGTTCAAGGGTCAGGAATTAAGGCTACCACCTGTTTGTGTTTGCATCAGACCCACGCAGTAAGTGCTTAAAGCTAATAATGCTGGTTCACCTTGACCTCTCCAAAGACTGGAAAACCTTGCAGAGTACATGGTTCTTTTCATGATAAAGACTTGCATGGGTGAAGTAGGAGCTCCTGTTTAGCACTAGAACCCAAAGATACGAAGTCAAGTATCAGTATCAGGACAGGGTATGAAGTTGTCCCAAAGCGTGTCATGAGGACTATTGCATTTAAAAATAAAGCGCAAAAAATACTGACTCGGAACATAAATGCAAAAGTCAAAGCCTACATACTTTTCTGACACATAAAATACTATCTTATGAAGAAGTAACTTTTCAAATGTGCTTGAAAATTCAACATACATAGATGCTTCGTGAAGATTCGAAAGGCCCATGTCCTGGTTGCTTTTTGATGGTATCTTATCATCCACTGGGGAAACAAAGCCATCAGCATCATCTTCTAGTTGATCCAAGAAGCTACGCACGTTGAAATCTGTTTTCATGGTAATCGTGAAATCTGGCTTCAGATTGCTGTCCTCCTCGGACCCCTCCTCTTCTTCCTACAGAGAGGGACAGAGCACCCCCATAACAGAATAGGTTACTCCTTCCCTTTTCAGAAACAGATACCTTCTTTCGCCACATGCACTGGGGAACAGATATGAAAAGAAGTGGATAGGAAGAGCAAGCACTTTAATTGCTAAGTAATACAGTACACTAGAATATCACCGGTAAGACTCCCTGTACCCAAAGCATCTATCGGAAAAGCCATGACCACCAGCTCAGATTGGTTAAGGAGACACAATGCAACAACACTGAGTGGAAAAAAAAGCTGCAGTTCTTAGCAACCTATTGCTTTGTTTAATCTATATATTCTGATGCAAGTAAAAACACTTCTAGATCAACATTAGGCACAAAATCTAAAGCACGTGTGACCTCGACCTTTCCCTACATATACACCTATCAGCAATGTTGTCAGGACAGCATACAAGTTGTCAGGTTAAAATATGAAGCGTTCTCTCCACAGACGCTGCCCAACAGCTTTTTCTAATGAGAGCGCTCAAGGCCTCACATGCTCATACAGAGATATCAGCGAGCTCAGATCACTGTTTCAATGGCCAAATGTAGGAGATGGTTGACTGTAAAAGCAATGCTGTTGCTAACTTGATCCCGAGATCAGCCATCTACCTGGAATACACTAAAGACTGGAGTGGAAAAACTGTCTAGCACAATTTCCCCAAAGTACATTGATGAATTGGTCCTATCTGAATGTTCTCCAAAATGTTCAGGCACAACATCTGGAAGCGTCTCTGCAGCGCTTGGTACTTGCTAATTCACAGTGTTCTTAACGTCCTGGGACACTGTCCAGAAATCATTTGGATTTTCAGGGAACAGTGCCCAGTTTTCTCTTACTTACAGAGACATTTCTTGAAGGCAGTTTTCAACCTTAATATAAAGAATGAGGCACGAACACTATAAGAAGATAGCAAATGCTAGCACGGACAAGAAGTCTCTTAAAAAAAGATTTTTACATCCATGCAACTCTAATGGGGAAGAATCTAAGCATACACATAACTTTTGAGGGCTAATATCACTCAAATCTTCAAGTTTATGCCAAAATATATTGTTACATGCGGATCAAAAGAAGCTAGTTTCTTTCTTTTTCTCCTGCGGATTCCTTGCTAATAGTTCAATTATTCCTAAGAGCTTTCTCCCATATTTCAAGCCCAAAGGGAGAAAAGGAACATTGGGAGTTGGTGGACTTTAATGGCAGTCTCATTATAGTCCTCAAAGCTGATGATTTATAAGGACGCACATTAGCATGAGATCAGAGTTTGCCCAGAGTTTTCTTCTTGTGATAGAGCTCCAGGCCATGAAAATGAAATGCACAGCCACAGACTGAGAATTACAACCGAGATGGAGGTTCGAGGATGAAAAAAAGATTAGCTGGAAAGCGAGAAGCTCTGAATAGTAACAACAGCAACAATAATAATACAAAGATACAGAGAAGTTTGAAAACATCTTAGGAAAATCTGCAGGGAACTGGTGAGAGTTTAAAGCATGATTACGATTAGATGAGCGTATGATTAGATGAGACCGTTTCTCCAGAAGTAAACCATATATATAGCTTAAGTTGAAGGCATAAAACAGCCCTTCAAGAGAATAACTGCTGCCGTGACTGCAGTCACGTACTATTTTAAAACCCTGCAGACAACGTCAGGCTGGGCTGGGGGAGGGAAGGGAGACCGTCACTCGCAGCCATTTCCAGCTCCCCACGCATGCTGCCCTGCACTGCTGGTAATGGCAGCAGCGACCAAAGTGGGAGATCACTGCTCCTGCTTGGGTGTGGGGGAGGATTCACTAGTCGTCCTAACGGTAAAAATTGTACACTTTATTTTTAGGGCACCAAAGCAGGAGCTCCTGTTCCCCTTCCTGGGAGAGTGAGGAGTTTCTGGATTGAACTTCTGGAGAGAAAGGAAAAGGGCAATTCTCCTGAGCAGTGTAACAAACTGCTCACAAAGACAGAAGCAAAGTCTCCGTAAAACTTGAATCTGTAAATCTGGCAACGACCTCCTCCCTGCAGACACCTGAGGCAGCTAGTGTGGGCCAGCCCGGCTCCAGAGTGCCGTGCGCACAGGCTGATTGAGCCAGGATTTCTGTGGCCCAGAACTCAGAAATGAGCCTCCTTCCAAAGAGGGTCTAAGGGAGGAAAAGACAGTGTAGAAGTTTCATTCGTTTAGACCTCAGTGCCAAAACAGTACACCTAGTCTCCTAAAGCACTTTGCTGTTTAAAATGAAAAGGGCAAATTAAAAAAATTCTTACTAATATTTCCAATGGGAATGGCCATCTAAGGCCATTGCTTTAAGGGAGTCCCAAATGGGAGTCTGATGTTAACCCTGCACAGCCATTTCACCTCAAACCAAAATGATCTTCATTGATTAGACCCATTTGGCTGGCACCTGCTTGGATCTCTAGGCAATCACAAGGCATTTAAACTTTCCAGAGCCGCAAATATTAAACCTCCAGAGTATCCCAGTCATCACTATTTCCAGCAAACAAGTTTCCCAATGACTTTTTAAACAGCTAATATTCAAGATATTCTACCCAAATGTTTTGTAAGGCTTCACCTCAAATCACTCGTCAAGCTTTCATCCCTCAATCGTCCTGAATGCTTGAATAATAAACGGGGTGGCTAGGGCCTGCCAAGATAGGTAGCACTCTGCACAGCTTGTGCCTATGCAGGGGACAAACTTTTAGCAATTTCCTGTTTAATTCTGCAGGTTTCATTCAGTTCAAAGCAGCCTTGTGGAGCTTCACAGGGTCTCCTCATTTAAGGGTTAATAGGCTTAAGGTTGTCACCCTGACCTGCACTCAGAAACACCACAGCTCTCGAGAAGGTCTGTGCTCCCTGTGTGACCCCCCTGAGCCAGTGAGATGCTGCCAGGACAAACCACGGGCACAGCACCAGTCAGGCCAGACACCAGAGACCACCACAAATGACAGCTGTAAGCTGACAGGGGTGCAAGCACAGAGGAAAAATAGATGACACACCAAAAAAAAAAAAAAGACCTTCGCTGCAGATCTGATGCACCAATCACCTAGAAGATATTGAGGAGAGCTCAGTGACAATTAACAGCCTCCAAAGAGCAAAGTTTAACACGCTTCAGTCTGCAACTTGGTTTTAATGAGAATGTGCCTGGAATAGCCTAACAATACACAATCTACCATAACTGCCTTATAATCAAATTATTTTGGATGTCTAGACTTGCAGTATTTATACCACTAACCAAGCTCTACCTGGATAACAGATAAATGACCCAAGTGTGCTGAAGCACCTTCTTTCCCTTTATACTAAAATGGCAACAAAAGCAAGCCAGGGCCCAGCTGCACGCTACTCTTCCTGTTCAACAGTTGGAGTTTCCTTCTCAGAGGAAGAAGGCCCAGTATTGTTACAGCAGTCTTCACCACCAGGAACTACCACTCCACAGCGGTACAAGAAAGAAAAGCAGCAATCCTGCCATCCAAATCTGACCAAGCGTCAACTAACAGAACAGAGTTACTCTTACTTCCGTCCTACTGCTGCCTTGGTTAGAAATACCATTTACAAAGGTGGGAAAAAAGTGCCCTGGATAAAATAAGCATGTGAATGGGAATAGGTATGAATCCCACAAGTTCCCCAGTTGGCTCCGTGCGCAAGTGTTAGTTCTGTGAGAGCTCATTCCAGCCACAGTGCTGTGTGCAAGCCACAGAGCTTTGGAGTGAGAAAAATCTACCTCAAAACAAGTTAGCGTTATTAAAAAGAAAGGAAGAAAAAATGAAAAAAGCCAAGGTGCAACAGATAATTGTGAGTTTTTGGCAAAATAAAACACATTATGTGCGGGTGGCAGGAGGAAGGAGAAGGAAGGGTAAGAATGCAAAGCCACGGAAATACTGTAGTCTTATCTACAACAACAGAGGGAAGAATTTATTCAGAAGTGGCGAGGCTTAAAGCAGCTACTCATTTTTCAGGAAGACACTGCAAAAAATCAACACTGATGGAAAAAAAATCAATCAATCATTCTCTTTCATTGGTAGAAGGGGAAAACTGATGCAAACTGAGCAATTAGTTAGCAGCTGGAGGTCTTCACCTTTATCTCCTTGAAGAAGGAAGCTGTTTCGCCCTCGATAATTGGCTGCAGCAAAGGGCTTCTCCGCTTGCTGGAGGGGGAACCCTGTGACAGGTGTTAACAAGTACGTTATATTATGAACCCCTTTCTCCTCCACCACCTGCTCTCCTGCTCTCAGCTCATTCTCACTCACTCATTCACTCTCAGCTCATTGCCAGACCATCAGGAGAAATCTATTTCTTAAAGAAGAAAAATGTGCTTGGCAAACCCTTTGAAGCTTGGACTGTTTTGTCTCAAGACGTTGCTTAGCAAGGGACATCAGTGCCAAACATGTGTAAGCAAAATGCTGGAATACTAGCTGGGCAGGAATCACAAAGTAAAGGCTGCAAGAAAATAACCCCCATCCCGAGGCCCATGCACACTCATAACATTCGCTTGGCTCTCCAGATCTATGGCGTAAGCCCAGCTAAATGCTCCATGCCTGCTTTCCAGGAGCCCGATTTCCCACTGAAGTGCCTGAAGACATAGATATGGATTTTCAAATGTCTCCTGCCTCAGCAAGAATCTCTCATAGCTCTCATTAGAGGGACTGGGGAAAACCATTCTCCTCTCTCCTCTGCGAGCCACCGAGTAATTTCAATTTTGTATCTGAACGAGACCTGAGCTCTCTTTTGATAGCTCTGCCTGAAACTGTCCGTGCAGAGCCAGAGGGTTTCTTCCTTTTGATTGCCAACACTGTCTTCACAGCACACCCTGGGGAGTATTTTGCATACTCAAAGAACAGCTTTTTGTTTTGTTTTAAATGCAGGACCACCTCCCACTATGTGCAGAAAAATGCACTTCTCAGTGTGTCTGACTGCACTGAGTAATGCTCTGCCAGTCCATTCACTTCAGCAGGCAGTCTACAAAAACCAGCAGCTAGGACATGAGTGCTGACTGGTAATAGCAAAGGAGTAAGGGATCATACCTGACAGACAGAGCAAGCAGCAACCAAGATAAAACACTTATCTTTCCACAGACAGGCTGAAAAGATTCTGGATGTAGTTTTTAGGTCAAATAATGTTTTTAAAAAGTGGTGTAGGCAAGTTCTCTAAAATTTGAGATTGCTGGCTCACTAGAGGGATAGATTGGATTCCATGCTAGTGTCAGGGCTTCCTTGCCAAAGTATCATCTTGAAGGAGGGAATATCTGCCAGCTGCAGCATCTCTAACCCAAGCCAAGCGTTGGGAGGCTGCTGGCACTTCCTTTCAGCGGAATGGAATCATATTTGCTGTAGGACCCACATAAGTCTAGGATAATACAACATTTTATCATATGTAACCAACCAGCATGGAAGACCTACAGCTCTGAAGGGTGGATGGGTAAGGAAAGGGAAGGGAGGCTGTAGCCAAACACAAGGTGATGAAATAACAGCAGCAGCCCAATGGAAAGAGGAGAAACAATATGAGGTGAGATGTGCCCCATGACTCATGGGTGGGCACTAGAGTCCCTTTGCCCACACTTAAGTATCCTGAATGTCAATGGTTCACTCTTATTCACTCGGTCTTTGGGTGGTAAGGGGAGGTTGGGATTTGGCCTCTGTGACTGTGTTGTTCGCAAAGGTGTGGTGATTCCCTTGTTTTCTCAGCTCCAAAGCAAAGAAATAGCCCCTAAAAGAATGTTCTACTCACAATAATAGGAATGGTGTTGGCCCTGGAGAGGATCTGTTTGACCAAGCGATATCTGTCATACAACGGCTTCATCACCTGTCGTTCATTTTTGGTAACCTGAAAAGGAAAAAGAAATGAGATCCATAAAGCAAGCCTGCAGCAGATGCTCCACTCTCTAATGCATGATCCTGTAATCACCCTCAGTCAGAGGGGGTTTGAAGGGAATTCTACGAGGACAACAGTCCAGTGGCAATAGCATGGAAACTGGAAATGCGAGCGCTCCTCACCCACACCTGTCCCAGTCCCCAGGTTAAGCAACACCCATGCTGTGGGGTGTCTTGTAATGTGGCTGTGTGAGACAAGAGACTGAAAAAATCAGCTTAGGAATCATATGTCCAGAGCGCAAAACAACCCACAGAGTTGCTAGTTTGTGCTTGCAATCACATCTACCATTGTCAGACCCTCATTCTTGTGGCAGAGACCTCAGAGGCAGTGTTTATGACCCAGGAAAAGAGAAAGAAGCTGCAATGAATGTCTGCCTCTCCAAGGAGGCTTTTCTAGGGTAGCTTAACCTACCAACTTCATAAAAGTCACAAAAGCTGACTTTCCTACTTTGCTCTTCCTTTCAAGTTCCTCTCAAAGTCAGCAGTTCTTCTTTTTAACTCCTTACCTTTTCCCTCCACCCTTCCTCCAAGCAACTTTGCTGGGAAGAAGAGCTACCACGGAGCTGAGACAGGACAAAGGTATCAGGGCTGTGCGGGCCACAGAGGAGACAGGACAGCACTATGCTGCCCACCTCAAACCTTCCTCACATTACTCTGTCCCTAACTCCACTCCTCCTAGCTGCACGCTGCACTGCCCTCCTCAGTTTCCAAGCTTTCCAAGTAAAATGAATATTTTACTCTAATTTTCTTTGAGATCCAAGCTAAGAAGAAAATCTCAGTAGTACTAAAAACTCAGAAGGGAAGACCTAATCCCATAGCAGAGAAAAGCCAGTGTGGGAAAGTAAAGGTCTGTTCAAACTAGGTACTAGTTGTAAGGAAGTGGGAGTCTATTTCACTAGCAGGGCTGGAAAACAAACAAAACATTCAGCAGAACCAACCTGGTCATCATCTTTCTTTGTATTCAGCACTGTCTGACCCACATCCTATGACTGTCCTTCTAGTAGATCTTTTGTCTGACTTGAGATTCTAAAGCTCTTAAGAGAGGAAGCTTTAACTGATTCTGATGAAATTCCTGTCTTCCTCAAGGCTTTTCACTGCTGCTAATCACCAGAGCATCTGAACAACTGCCTTGCAAAAATTAACATCACCAGTGCAACCCCTACTGAGCTTGTACAGTCCCCCTTTCTGCAATACCAATAGGAGGAGAGGGAAAGCAGCTTGAGATAGCACAGAAACTTTACAGTGAACAGTGGAATCATTCTCTTATTTTGTCTGCAACTAACTTCCACTGGAGTAGGCTTTTTAAAGCTTTCACATCATCTCTCCGGAGCATGAGAGAGGGTGTTGGTCTGTGAGGGGCAAAAGAGACGGTCTAAGTGTTGCCAGGAGTCAGACTGGCACAGATGAACTAACAATTTGGAGGTAGCATTTTCTGCGTGACACCCAACCCTACTTCTTACTTCAGGGAGAGATCAATTCAAACACCCCCAAGTCTGAGATGGGGTATTTGGATGGGCAATCAAAGCTCTAGAGCCTGCATGTCCCAGACCACTGAAGAGCAGCCTGGCTCCAACACCCAACAACCTCGAGCTGGCTGTTTGTGCGGCAGAACAAAGAGCAGGTTACGTCATGTTGATGAGAGGGGTATGACCAGCAGCACACAATTCATTCAGCGCTCTCTGCACCGAGTTTTGTGCTGATGTGTCTGCATTCAATTATACTGACTAACAAGTTGTCTCAAGCTTTGGACATTTCTCTGCAAATGATTGATCTTAATCAGGCATAAAACTGGAGAAATCTTGTGGCCTATTGAGCTCATATCATTCCTAGCTTTGCTATGTTAGAATTTAGTGTAACATGAGGCATAGCATTACTGTCAGCTCAGGGAGCCTCTGTTACTTAGAGGAAAACTATGAAAGAGCTTATGCTGAGGCTGAGAACCAAACCTTTAGTTAATGCACTTCAAAGTAGATAAATACTCCTGTTCTGTACAGAAACAAACAAAACAAAACACAAGCCTTGGAATGGGCAAAAAATCCTTACGTGTGTCGGAGAATGGAAAAATACATCACATTCAGAGTCTGAATATCACTATGGAGCAACAACCCAAAGAATTAATTGAGGCATCGAACGTAAGTGTATGGGGCCTGAGTCAGCCACACAGACCTACACCAGCATATTTAAACAGAAAGCAGACTCTGAAGGAAAACGGTTTTGCACATGGGCAAACTGTCTCACTAGGTAAACATAAATAATACCAGTGAAACCTGAGGTTTTTTTGGGAGAACATCAAAACGCAAAAAAAACTGTTAGAATAACGGAGCCTTTGACACAACTCTGGGGCACACTCCATATGGTAAACAGCAGCAGCCAAGGACGAGACCATTGCTTGCATTGTTATAGCACCTTGAGAATTTCTGCAGAGACAGACCTTTTGGCTTAACTAAAACAGTTCAGTTCCACCTCTGGAACTGAACCTCAGTTCATCTGTCACTGGTGCAGAAAGACCCAGTTGCACAATAAATTTGAGCTCCATTGTTTTTCTTGTTTAGTTAAATATCTTAAAAAAATATTTGGCTGAACTATCCCCATTCTCCTGAAGCTCTCAGTACTTTTCCACTGCTGCAATGCCAGGAGCTGGAAGCAGCAAAAGCTGATCAGCTGCAGCCTTCCTTGCCATGTGTTTTGGTGTTGCTAGGTATAGACTGCTTACTTAAAAACAAATAGGCTAAAAAGCAGTTGTAGAAATAAAAGTATCTGAAAGGAAAGGAAAAAAAAAAAGCTATGCTGACGAGCTGGGCTCTGGGCTTGCTCTCTTTTTAAATAGATTTAAGTGAATTCACTTCAGTGAGATGCCACCTCTTGATTTACATCACTGTAAAAGCAGCAAAAGCAGACTCTGCTGGAGAAGACAGGGAAGATTAAGTGGATTCTCTTGTACTGGCCTTTTGCTGTTTCACACAGTAAAAAAAACTGCATGTCCTCTCATACAGCCATGCTGTTTTCACCTGTTGGTATACGTGTATGTATACATAGTAGTACTTTATGAAGGATTTTACATACATTTAGGAGGACTTTTTTAAGCCAATGGACAAAGGAGGAAACAACTCGGGAGCAAAAGGAAGGAAGAGATCGGGACTGCCACGCAGCAGAAGAATAACAGACTTGTCAGCTGTGCTAATCAAGTGATCCTCGTAAGCAGTAAGTGGCTGCTCCCAGGCCACTACTCAAGGTATTAGCACCACTATGAAACGAACTACTTTACCTGTACAGCTGGTAGCAAAGTTTATAATATCACCAGTGAAAGAGGAGGAGGTATTCATACAAAGTCAACCACAGTGCATGGTGTCCGGGAACCAAAAAGCCACCATGTTTCTGTCACAGTAGAGGTCAGCTGAACACACTAGCTAATTCTCCATCTTGACAAATTATGCTCCTTTGTTAAGATCAAAAATGCAAGAAACCTCCTGCCCCTTCCACTGGCATAGGGAAACAAGCATGCACTTCTCAGGAAAGAAAAAAAGAAAAAAAGAACTCTCATTTCAACTTATGCTGTGACACTCAGAGACTAAACTGTGCCATGAAACCTCTGGCATAAAGATGCCCTCCCTGCAAATAACAAGGTGTTGCGGAAAAGACTTTGCAGCTTCTCTATGAAAAGGCAGCGCATGCACATACATCTTTCCAATTAGCCATAAATACTGACAAATTGCAAAATTCCTAGCTGGATGGGGGACGCAACTACCCCTGTGCAGACTGTACCCCTGGCAAAGCTGGTGAGTCAGCTGGACCACACTGAGCGGTCTGCTGAGTGCCTGCAGATCCTGGTGAATGTGATGCCAAAATAACGCACCTTGACATCAGCTGAGGCCTACAGGTATCTGCTAAGTACCGCACTGTGTGCGGATAGCATCCTGCTGAGAACAGACTCCTCAGGAGCAGTGGTAGCAAAAATAAGCTGTTCTGCTCTCCCTGGTCTTAGTAGCCAGATGGACTAGGCCAGCATGAGGCTTCAAGCAAACCCATCCCAGTCAAACTGAAACACTGTAAAATTAGCAGCCAACTTAGGGCTAGAAATTCTGCTTTTCCACAAGCAAGTGTTCTGAAACATGCACCAAGCAGCATGGTTGGATGTGCTTTCTAGTGTTGCTCCTTCCTTGCTTGAGTAGGGAAA